AGGTAGACAAACATTGGATTCTTTCCAAAAATTTTCATGGTCACGTTTCAAGCTGTACACACAAAAGTATCAATGAACTGTTGCAAACACTTTTCTATTGCTATCGTTTCTGTATCTTTGCGTCAGTCATCAACTGCTATGAGTGAGGTCAATCATCAATGAGTAAGGTTAGTCATCATCATGTTTCGGTGACCTCGGATGTTTCCAGGTCACTGCTAAAGATACAACAATGCAGAGATAAGATAAACTCATCATCAGGTGCTTTGCCGACTGGCGTTGGCGATCATGCCTCTCCATAATCTGCAATCTCCTGCAGCATGTATCAGTTCGTGTGCCGACACACCTCCATGCCATGCAACAAGACTGTCAAGCATCTTCTCTCGTTGTCTTCCTCTATCCCTCCTTCCACAGATCTTTTCAGTGGTCACAACATGTTCTATTTTCCCTCTTCTCATAACATGGCCGAAAAATGATGACAAAAAAAAAAAAAAAAAAAAAAGAAAAAAAGAAAAAAAAAAAAAAAAAAAAAAAAAAAAAAAAAAAAAAAAAAAAGAAAAAAAAAAAAAAGAAAAATGTCTCCTTCTAATGTCTGCGATAAGTTGTCTTCGGGCTCCCGCCTCTTTCAAAACCTCTTGGTTGCTCTTTTTGGCTGTCCAAGGTATTCTAAGCATTCTTCTGTAAAACCATATCTCTGAGGCCTCTAAAAATTGTTTGGCCTACTTACCGTTTGTCCAGGATTCACAGCCATATGTTAAAACTGGATGTATGAATCAAGCAAGAATTCTTTTTCTAACTCTCAATGACAAGGATATATTGCACAAGATGTTCTTCGTTTTATCAAATGCAGTTTTTGCCTGCCCTATTCTGCTTCTTATCTCAGTTTTTCCCTGTCCTAACAATTTAAAATTGAAAGTGCGCACGAGTATTTTCAAATGTATATTTAGTTTGCTCATCAAAGACATTTGTCGATTTAACGACAAAGTGTTTCATTACGTTTTTTAGAAACATTCAATACAAATGCTGTTTAACGGCTGTTCAGGAAATGTAAAAAAAAGATTGTTAAAAAAAAAAAAAAAAACGCCACCTTGTTACTTGCAGTCAGGCACAAACTGGCACTGACAATGAACACAAACGTCCCTGTGTCACAGAGTCCATCGCTGGTAATGGCGCAGTGCTTATAGATACAATAAGTAGGCGCCAAACTAGCAGGTCACTCTGATTCCCTAGCAAACAGCAAGCCATCTGAACTGCCAAACTTACGCCCAAGCAACCGGACTTAGCCTGCAGCTGTAGCAGCACCATCTCAGTAAAACAGCCCCCATGGCGTGCCCCAGTGACCCAGAAGAGAAACGTCCCAAGAACTTCATCGAGGCCATCAGTGGCGACGAGAGCTGGTCCACATTTGGTATCCGCGTCAAGTGGACTGACCCGGTGGTTCCTGGCAATCTCAAACTGCCCATTGGTCAGCAGGTGACTCTCAGGCTGTGCGTGGAGACCAGAAAAGGTTTCAACATTGTTCCAGAATCTTTGTCTGCTTGGTGCTGGACACACATCCGTGCTGAGGTTTGTCTTTTATGTGGCTGAGGTTTGTCTTTTGTTTGGCTGAAGTTTGTCTTTTGTGTGGCTGAGGTTTGTATTTTGTGTGGCTGAGGTTTGTCTTTTATGTGGCTGAGGTTTGTCTTTTGTGTGGCTGAGGTCTGTCTTCTGTGTGGCTGAGGTTTGTCTTTTATGTGGCTCAGGTTTGTCTTTTGTGTGGCTGAGGTTTGTCTTTTGTGTGGCTGAGGTTTGTCTTTTGTGTGGCTCAGGTTTGTCTTTTGTGTGGCTGAGGTTTGTCTTTTGTGTGGCTCAGGTTTGTCTTTTGTGTGGCTAAGGTTTGTCTTTTGTGTGGCTGCTATTTGTATTTGAGATATCTGTGACTGGTGTTTGTTTGAGTGTGATTTGTATCCATAATGTCTGTTTCTGGTTTTTGTGTGGGTGTGGTTTGTATCCATTATGTCGGTGACTGTTGAATGTCTGGGTGTGGTTTTACTTTATTATATATGTGACTGGTGTTTGTCTGGGTGTGGTTTGTATCCATGATATCTATGTCTGGTGTATGTGTGTCTGGGTGTGATTTGTATCCATAACGTCTGTCTGGTTTTGTGTCTGGGTGTGATTTGTATCCATAACGTCTGTCTGGTTTTGTGTCTGGGTGTGATTTGTATCCATAACGTCTGTCTGGTTTTGTGTGTGGTTTGTATCCAGGATGTCTGTGTTTGTCAGGATGTGGTTTGTATCCAGGATGTCTGTGTTTGTCTGGATGTGGTTTGTATCCATGTGGAATCATCTGGCTGTTGTGTGTCAGGGACGTGGAATAATCTGACCGTTGCGTTACAACGTCTTGCAATAATCTGACCTGTCTGTGACAATGACGTGGACTCATTTGACCGTTGTGTGACAATGACGTGGACTCATTTGACCGTTGTGTGACAAAGACGTGGACACATTTGACCGTTGTGTAACAATAAAGTGAAACAATCTCACCGTTTGTGTAACAGTGACATGGAATAATCTGACCTTTGTGTGGCAATGACGTGAAATAATCTGATCGTTGACTGTCTGCCAGGACAATCCCTGCGGCACCTGGAGAGAGATCCGACTACACCACAACCCCAAGTGTACCATCGTCGATGAGCACGGACACACTAGCCATGTCTTCCAGTCGTCAGTTGTACCGACAGCAGATGATTTGTACAGGTACAGCCTGCTCAACAATCATCATTACCAGAACCATCATCAACACCACCACCACCAAAATCATCATCCCCGTCATTACCAACACTATCATGAACATCACCATCATAATCATCATTGTCAACACCAGCAAGATCCAAAAAAAAAAAAAAAAATCAACAACAACCCCAACAAAGCCTGTGCCCCCGAGCACCAGTCACACACTCATGGTTGTATGTTTCCCAGTCACACACTGATGGTTGTCTGTTTCCCAGTCACACACTGATGGTTGTCTGTTTCCCAGTCACACACTGATGGTTGTCTGTTTCCCAGTCACACACTCATGGTTGTATGTTTCCCAGTCACACACTGATGGTTGTCTGTTTCCCAGTCACACACTCATGGTTGTCTGTTTCCCAGTCACACACTGATGGTTGTCTGTTTCCCAGTCACACACTGATGGTTGTCTGTTTCCCAGTCACACACTCATGGTTGTCTGTTTCCCATTCACACACTGATGGTTGTCTGTTTCCCAGTCACACACTCATGGTTGTCTGTTTCCCAGTCACACACTGATGGTTGTCTGATTCCCAGTCACACACTCATGGTTGTCTGTTTCCCAGTTACACACTGATGGTTGTCTGTTTCCCAGTCACACACTGATGGTTGTCTGTTTCCCAGTCACACACTGATGGTTGTCTGTTTCCCAGTCACACACTGATGGTTGTCTGTTTCCCAGTCACACACTGATGGTTGTCTGTTTCCCAGTCACACACTGATGGTTGTCTGTTTCCCAGTCACACACTGATGGTTGTCTGTTTCCCAGTCACACACTGATGGTTGTCTGATTCCCAGTCACACACTGATGGTTGTCTGTTTCCCAGTTACACACTGATGGTTGTCTGTTTCCCAGTCACACACTGATGGTTGTCTGTTTCCCAGTCACACACTGATGGTTGTCTGTTTCAGACTGACCTTCAACATCAAATATGGCCAGGTGATGATCTGGGCCAATTATTTCCAGGTAGACAACATGGTGGATGTGCATGTGAAACCTTCAGTGGGAACACAGGTCAGTGTCCGGCTGCCAGTCGTGCTTGTGTCTACATAGAGTCTGCTCTGTGTTCTACTAGAGTCTGCTCTCCGTTATGTCTAGTCTGTACTCTGTTCTATCTAGAATATGCTCTCTTTTCTATATAGTCTGTACTCTTTTCTGTCTAGAATATGCTCTTTTTTCTATATAGTTTGTACTCTGTTCTATCTAGAGTCTGCTCTTTGTTCTGTCTAGTCTGTTCTTTATTTGATCTAGTCATGTTAGGTCTGTTTCAAACGTGGGCTCTGCATTTGGACCAGGATGGTGCCAAGGCAGGCATTCTCAAGTTGAGGTGACAGTTGTCATGTTTCCCTGGCTGCCATGAAAGTTACCACATGGACCTCTAGCTGAATGTTGTCATGTTTCTCTTGCTGCCATGGAAGTTACCACATGGACCTCTAGCTGAATGTTGTCATGTTTCTCTTGCTGCCATGGAAGTTACCACATGGACCTCTAGCAGGCTGTTGTCATGTTTCTCTGGCTGCCATGGAAGTTACCACATGGACCTCTAGCAGGCTGTTGTCATGTTTCTCTGGCTGCCATGGAAGTGGCCACATGGACCTGTAGCTGACTGTTGTCATGTTTCTCTTGCTGTCATGGAAGTTACCACATGGACCTCTAGCTGAATGTTGTCATGTTTCTCTGGCTGCCATGGAAGTTGCTACATTGACCTCTAGCTGACTGTGTCACCAGCAGCTGGGTTTTGTTCGCACTGGGGCTGCCTTTATCTGCACTTGTGTGTGTGTGTGTTTGTGTGTGTGTGTGTGAGAGGGCTGGTAGGTGTAGGTTGGTAGTTGTTTCATAGCGGATGTTGGGTGTTGTGTGTAGTATTGAATGTGTGGGCTAGCAGTTTTGATGCACTAGATGTACAATGATAGGTGTGGGTGATAGGTGTGGGTGATAGCTGTGGGTGATAGGTGTGGGTGATATGTGTGGGTGATAGGTGTGGGTGATATGTGCGGGTGATAGGTTTAGAATGATATGTTTGGGCGATAGGTGTTGGGGTGATATGTGTGGGTGATATGTGTGGGTGGTATGTGTGGGTGATATGTGTGGGGCGATATGTGTGGGTGATATGTGTGGGATGCTATGTGTGGATGATAGGAGTTGGATCATAGGTGTGTTGTGGTAGTTGTATGATGATATGTGTGGGTGATAGGTGTGGGATGATAGGTGTGAGTTATATGTGTGGGATGATTTGTGTGGTTGATATGTGTCGGTGATATGTGTGGGGTAATATGTGTGGGGTAATATTTGTGGGTGATAGATGTGTGTGATAGGTATGCGGCGGTAGTTGTGAGATGATAGGTGTGGGTGATAGGCGTGCTGTGCTAGTTGTGGCATGATAGGTGTGGGTGATATGTGTGCGGCGGTAGTTGTGGGATGATGGGTGTTGGTGATATGTGTGCGGCGGTAGTTGTGGGATGATAGGTGTGGGTGATTGGTGGGAGTCGGTAGTTGTGGGATGATAGGTGTGGGTGATTGGTGGGAGTCGGTAGTTGTAGGATGGTAGGTGTAGGTGATTGGTGGGAGTCGGTAGTTGTGTGATGATAGGTGTGAGTGATTGGTGGGAGTCGGTAGTTTTGGGATGATAGGTGTGGGTGATTGGTGGGAGTCGGTAGTTGTGGGATGATAAGTGTGGGTGATATGTGTGCGGCGGTAGTTGTGGGATGATAGGTGTGGGTGATTGGTGGGAGTCGGTAGTTGTGTGATGATAGGTGAGGGTGATTGGTGGGAGTCGGTAGTTTTGGGATGATAGGTGTGGGTGATTGGTGGGAGTCGGTAGTTGTGGGATGATAAGTGTGGGTGATATGTGTGCGGCGGTAGTTGTGGGATGATAGGTGTGGGTGATTGGTGGGAGTCGGTAGTTGTGGAATGATAGGTGTGGGTGATTGGTGGGAGTCGGTAGTTGTGTGATGATAGGTGAGGGTGATTGGTGGGAATAATTAGTTGTGGGTTGATAGGTGTGGGATAGTTTTGAGGTTGCGAATGTTATGTTTTTATGAAATTGTTGTGTAATTCATAATTGCCCTCTATTGAAGATAGCTTGGCTTCCAACAAACGACTTTCCCCAGTCAGTGGTAATTATGTTATGACAGATTGATATTGTTCAAATGTCACTTACAAAACCATATGTTTATCGTTGTTTGCTATATCACAACTGCGGTGAGGCTAGATTATTGTAGTAGATAACCCTTATATCTTTAATAATTTCCCACAAAATTGTCTGTATATCTTGTTTACGACTTTGATTGTTTTTACAGTGTGCTCTGTTCATCTTGATGTTACATCTTTAATTATTCCTACAATGTGGTCTACTTATCTTGTTTTTACATCTGATTGTTTCCACTGTGTGGTCTGTTTATCTTGTTACATCTTTGATTGTTCCCACAGTATGGTCTGTTTATCTTGTTGTTACATCTTTGATTGTTCCCACAGTGTGGACTGTTTATCTTGTTGCTACATCTTTGATTTGTCCCGCCTTGTGGTCTGTTTACCTTGTTGGTACATCCTTGATTGTTCCCACAGTATGGTCTGTTTATCTTGTTGTTATATCTTTGATTGTTGACACAGTATGGTCTGTTTATCTTGTTGTTACATCTTTAATTGTTGACACAGTATGGTCTGTTTATCTTGTTGTTATATCTTCGAATGTCCCCACAGTTTGCTCGGTTTATCATGTTGTTACATGTTTGATTGTTCCGACAGTATGGTCTGTTTATCTTGTTGCTACACCTTTGATTTTTCCCGCCTCATGGTCTGTTTTTCTTGTTACATCTTTGACTGTTCCCACAGTATGGTCTGTTTATCTTGTTGCTACACCTTTGATTTTTCCCGCCTCTTGGTCTGTGTATCTTGTTACATCTTTGATTGTTCCCACAGTATGGTCTGTTTATCTTGTTGTTACACCTTTGATTTGTCCCGTCTTGTGGTCTGTTTATCTTGTTTCATCTTTGATTGTTCCCACATTGTGGTCTGTTTATCTTGTTGCTACACCTTTGATTCGTTCCGCCTTGTGGTCTGTTTATCTTGTTACATCTTTGATTGTTCCCACAGTATGGTCTGTTTATCTTGTTGTTACATCTTTGATTGTTCCCGCAGTGTGGTCTGTTGATCTTGTTGTTACATCTTCGATTGTTACCGCCCCGTGGTCTGTTTATCTTGATGTTACATCTTTGATTGTTCCCAGGATGTGGTCTGTTAATCTTGTTGTTGTATCTTTGCTTGTTCCCACGGTGTGGTTTGTGAATCTTGCTGTTACATCTTTGATTGTTCCCACGGTGTGGTCTGTTTATCTTGTTGTTACATCTTTGATTGTTCCCGCAGTGTGGTCTGTTGATCTTGTTGTTACATCTTCGATTGTTACCGCCCCGTGGTCTGTTAATCTTGTTGTTATATCTTTGCTTGTTCCCACGGTGTGGTTTGTGAATCTTGCTGTTACATCTTTGCTTGTTCCTACAGTATGGTCTGTTTATTTTGTTGCTACACCTTTGATTTGTCCCGCCTTGTGGTCTGTTTATCTGGTTGGTACATCTTTGATTGTTCCCACAGTATGGTCTGTTTATCTTGTTGTTACATCTTTTATTGTTCCCACAGTTTGCTCTGTTTATCATGTTGTTACATCTTTGATTGTTCCCACAGTATGGTCTGTTTATCTTGTTGTTACATCTTTGATTGTCCCCACAGTTTGCTCTGTTTATCATGTTTTTACATCTTTGATTGTTCCCACAGTATGGACTGTTTATCTTGTTGCTACATCTTTGATTTGTCCCGCCTTGTGGTCTGTTTATCTTGTTGGTGCATCCTTGATTGTTCCCACAGTATGGTCTGTTTATCTTGTTGTTATATCTTTGATTGTTGACACAGTATGGTATGTTTATCTTGTTGTTACATCTTTGATTGTTGACACAGTATGGTCTGTTTATCTTGTTGTTATATCTTCGAATGTCCCCACAGTTTGCTCGGTTTATCATGTTGCTACATGTTTGATTGTTCCGACAGTATGGTCTGTTTATCTTGTTGCTACACCTTTGATTTTTCCCGCCTCATGGTCTGTTTTTCTTGTTACATCTTTGACTGTTCCCACAGTATGGTCTGTTTATCTTGTTGCTACACCTTTGATTTTTCCCGCCTCTTGGTCTGTGTATCTTGTTACATCTTTGATTGTTCCCACAGTATGGTCTGTTTATCTTGTTGTTACACCTTTGATTTGTCCCGTCTTGTGGTCTGTTTATCTTGTTTCATCTTTGATTGTTCCCACATTGTTTCCCTGTTTATCATTGTTGCTACACCTTTGTCTGTTTATCTTTGATTGTTCCCACAGTATGGTCTGTTTATCTTGTTTGATTGATTGTTCCGCAGTGTGGTCTGTTTGATCTTGTTGTTACATCTTCGATTGTTCCCACCCGTGGTCTGTTTATCTTGATGTTACATCTTTGATTGTTCCCATGATGTAGTCTGTTAATCTTGTTGTTATATCTTTCTTGACGGTGTGTTTTTTACTTGCTGTTACATCTTTGCTTGTCCTACAGTATGGTCTGTTTATTTTGTTGTTACACCTTTGATTTGTCCCGCCTTGTGGTCTGTTTATTGGTTGTTACATCTTTGATTGTTCCCACAGTATGGTCTGTTTAATCTTGTTGTTACATCTTTGATTGTTGTTCCCACAGTGTGGCTTTGTTTATCTTGCTGTTACATCTTTGATTGTTCCCACAGTATGGTCTGTTTATCTTGTTGTTACATCTTTGATTGTCCCCACAGTTTGCTCTGTTTATCATGTTGTTACATCTTTGATTGTTCCCACAGTATGGTCTGTTTATCTTGTTGCTACACCTTTCATTTTTCCCGCCTCATGGTCTGTTTTTCTTGTTACATCTTTGTTGTTCCCACAGTATGGTTTGTTATCTTGTTGCTACACCTTTGATTTTTCTCGTGGTCTGTGTATCTTGTTACATCTTTGATTGTTTCCCACAGTATGGTCTGTTTATCTTGTTGTTACACCTTTGATTTGTCCCCGTCTTGTGGTCTGTTTATCTTGTTTCATCTTTGATTGTTCCCACATTGTGGTCTGTTTATCTTGTTGCTACACCTTTGATTCGTTCCGCCTTGTGGTCTGTTTATCTTTGATTGTTCCCACAGTATGGTCTGTTTATCTTGTTGTTACATCTTTGATTGTTCCCGCAGTGTGGGTCTGTTGATCTGTTGTTACATCTTCGATTGTTACCGCCAGTATGGTCTGTTTATCTTGATGTTACATCTTTGATTGTTCCCACGATTTGGTCTGTTTATCTTGTTGTTACATCTTTGCTTGTTCCCACGGTGTGGTTTGTGAATCTTGTTTATCTTTGATTGTTCCCACGGTGTGGTCTGTTTATCTGTTGTACACTCTTTGATTGTTCCCACGTGTGGTCTGTTGATCTTGTTGTTACATCTTCGATTGTTTTTTATCTTGATGTTACATCTTTGATTGTTCCCACGAGTCTGTTAATCTTGTTGTCTTTGCTTTTTCCCACTTGTTTGTGCTACACCTTTGATTTTTCCTACAGTATGCCTTTTTATTCCTGGTCTGTCTGTTGATTTGTTTATCACCTTGTGGTCTGTTTATCTTGTTACATCTTTGATTGTTCCTACAGTATGGTCTGTTTATCTTGTTGTTATCTTTGATTGTTACACCTTTGATTTGATTGTTCCACCGTATGGTCTGTGGTCTTTGATTGTCCCACAGTTTGCTTATCTTGTTACATCTTTGATTGTTCCCACAGTATGTGTTTATCTTGTTGCTCTGATCTTTGCCGCCTCTTGGTTGCTACTTATTACACCTGATTGTTTTGATGTGGTCGTTCCGCCTTTTATTTGTGGTCTTGTGGTCTTATCTTGTTACATCTTTGATTGTTCCCACAGTATGGTCTGTTTATCTTGTTGTTACACCTTTGATTTGTCCCGTCTTGTGGTCTGTTTATCTTGTTACATCTTTGATTGTTCCCACATTGTGGTCTGTTTATCTTGTTGCTACACCTTTGATTCGTTCCGCCTTGTGGTCTGTTTATCTTGTTAAATCTTTGATTGTTCCCACAGTATGGTCTGTTTATCTTGTTGTTACATCTTTGATTGTTCCCGCAGTGTGGTCTGTTGATCTTGTTGTTACATCTTCGATTGTTACCGCCCCGTGGTCTGTTTATCTTGTTGTTACATCTTTGATTGTTCCCACCGTATGGTCTGTTTATCTTGTTGTTACATCTTTGATTGTTCCCACGATGTGGTCTGTTAATCTTGTTGTTACATCTTTGATTGTTCCCACGGTGTGGTCTGTGAATCTTCTTGTTATATCTTTGAATGTTTCCACGGTGTGGTCTGTTAATTTTGTTGTTACATCTTCGATTGTTCCTACGGTGTGGTCTGTGAATCTTGTTGTTACATCTTTGATTGTTCCCGCAGTGTGGTCTGTTTATCTTGTTGTTACATTTTTGATTGTTACCGCCCCGTGGTCTGTTTATCTTGTTGTTACATCTTTGATTGTTCCCACCGTATGGTCTGTTTATCTTGTTGTTACATGTTTGATTGTTCCCACGATGTGGTCAGTTAATCTTGTTGTTACATCTTTGATTGTTCCCACGGTGTGGTCTGTGAATCTTGTTGTTACATCTTTGAATGTTCCCACGATGTGGTCTGTTAATCTTGTTGTTACATCTTCGATTGTTCCTACGGTGTGGTCTGTGAATCGTGTTGTTACATCTTTGAATGTTCCCACGGTGTGGTCTGTTAATCTTGTTGTTACATCTTTGGCTGTTCCCACTGTGTGGTCTGTTAATCTTACTGTTACATCTTTGATTGTTCCCACAGTATGATTTGGTTGTCGGTCCTCCGGCTTGGAAAGCTATCTTATGCAAACTAATGCCCCAGGTAAGGACATGAAGTCAATGCAAGAGGTGTGACTTGTTTATGAGCTAGTGTGAAGTCAGATGGCTATTTTGATGTCGGGAAGGGTACTGAGTGTCTGCGACTGCCCCATTTTGTTTTTAGACCTCAGACACTCGATAGGCAGTGGCTAGTGTCGTGGTACATGTTTTAGCGCTATGAATACTTGATAGGTACAGTGTGAGAGACTCATTGATAAACTCAGAATTGAGCCTTATTGTGAGAGACTCATTGATAAACTCAGAATTGAGCCTCATTGTGAGAGACTCATTGATAAACTCTGAGTTGAGCCTCATTGTGAGAGACTCATTGATAAACTCAGAGTTGAGCCACATTGTGAGAGACTCATCGATAAACTCAGAGTTGAGCCTTATTGTGAGAGACTCATTGATAAACTCAGAATTGAGCCTCATTGTGAGAGACTCATTGATAAACTCAGAGTTGAGCCTCATTGTGAGAAACTCATTGATAAACTCAGAATTGAGCCTCATTGTGAGAGACTCATTGATAAACTCATAATTGAGCCTCATTGTGAGAGACTCGTTGATAAACTCAGAATTGAGCCTCATTGTGAGAGACTCATTGATAAACTCAGAATTGAGCCTCATTGTGAGAGACTCATTGATAAACTCAGAATTGAGCCTCATTGTGAGAGACTCATTGATAAACTCAGTATCAAGCCTCATTGTGAGAGACTCATTGATAAACTCAGTATCAAGCCTCATTGTGAGAGACTCATTGATAAACTCAGTATCAAGCTTCATTGTGAAAGACTCATTGATAAACTTAGAATTGAGCCTTATTGTGAGAGACTCATTGATAAACTCAGAATTGAGCCTTATTGTGAGAGACTCATTGATAAACTTAGAATTGAGCCTCATTGTGAGAGACTCATTGATAAACTTAGAATTGAGCCTCATTGTGAGAGACTCATTGATAAACACATAATTGAGCCTCATTGTGAGAGACTCATTGATAAACTCAGAATTGAGCCTCATTGTGAGAGACTCATTGATAAACTTAGAATTGAGCCTCATTGTGAGAGACTCATTGATAAACACATAATTGAGCCTCATTGTGAGAGACTCATTGATAAACTTAGAATTGAGCCTCATTGTTAGAGACTCATTGATAAACTTAGAATTGAGCCTTATTGTGAGAGACTCATTGATAAACTCAGTATCAAGCCTCATTGTGAGAGACTGATAAACTTAGAATTGAGCCTTATTGTGAGAGACTCATTAGTAATGCATCTCAGATCTGCTTGTACTCTAGAGCGCCAAGTTTGAGTTCGTCAAAAATAACAAAACGTTTCAACTTTTGGAAAAGGTTGAGGTCCGAACACATAATTCCACAAACAGACAGGGGCCGCCGTCATTGTTGGCCACACGTAGAGACAGGATGGAGCAGCATTTATGAACAATGAAACGGAGAAAGACAAGGACAGAAGGCAGTCCGACATGGCACTATCGCTCACTAAAATATGTCAGCCATTTGTTAGTGGCGATGGTGTCGATGACGATGATCATTATGGTGATGATGTTTTTGATGATGATGCTGTTGATGATGATGATGATGATGATGGTGGTGGTGATTATGCTGTTGATGATCATATTGATGATGCTGTTGATAAAGATAATGTTGATGATTTTGATGATTAATGGTGTTATCCCATACTTGCAGTCGTTCCCGTTCTACCACACTTACTTCTGCGACCTGTTCTCCGACAACAAACAGTCGACGTCATCGCAGGGAGCCAGGTAGGTCAGCCATGGCTGTGAGTGGGAGCACTGACAAGATAACTGTAGACCTAGCGACCATTGACTAGATGACAGTAGGCTGGACAGTCACTGACTAGATGACAGTAGGCTGGACAGTCACTGACTAGATGACAGTAGGCTGGACAGTCACTGAATAGATGACAGTAGGCTGGACAGTCACTGACTAGATGACAGTAGGCTGGACAGTCACTGAATAGATGACAGTAGGCTGGACAGTCACTGACTAGATGACAGTAGGCTGGACAGTCACTGAATAGATGACAGTAGGCTGGACAGTCACTGACTAGATGACAGTAGGCTGGACAGTCACTGACTAGATGACAGTAGGCTGGACAGTCACTGACTAGATGACAGTAGGCTGGACAGTCACTGACTAAATGACAGTAGACCAAGCAGTCACTGACAAAATGATCGTAGACTGGGTACTTCCTGACTAGATATAGTAGACTGGACACTCACTTACTAGATGACGGTAGACTGGGTACCTTCTCATAGAATAACAGAAGACTGGGTACTAACTGTCTAGATGACAATAGACTGGGCAGTACTCACCGACAAGATGACCACAGACTGGACAGTACTCACCGACTAGATGACAGTAGACAGGGAAGCACTCACCGACTAGATGACAATAGACTGGGTAGCACTCACCGACTAGATGACAGTAGACAGAGAAGCACTCACCGACTAGATGACAATAGACTGGGTAGCACTCACTGACTAGATGACAATAGACTGGGTAGCACTCACCGACTAGATGACAATAGACAGGGAAGCACTCACCGACTAGATGACAATAGACAGCGTAGTACTCACCGACTAGATGACAATAGACAGGGAAGCACTCACCGACTAGATGACAATAGACTGGGTAGTACTCACCGACTAGATGACAATAGACTGGGTAGCACTCACCGACTAGATGACAGTAGACAGGGAAGCACTCACCGACTAGATGACAATAGACTGGGTAGCACTCACCGACTAGATGACAGTAGACAGAGAAGCACTCACCGACTAGATGACAATAGACTGGGTAGCACTCACCGACTAGATGACAATAGACAGGGTAGCACTCACCGACTAGATGACAATAGACTGGGTAGCACTCACCGACTAGATGACAATAGACAGGGTAGCACTCACCGACTAGATGACAATAGACCTGGTAGCACTCAATTACAGAATGACAGTAGACAGGGAAGCATTCACTGACAAGATGACAGTAGACAGGGAAGCATTCACTGACAAGATGACCACAGACTGGACAGTACTCACTGACTAGATGACATTAGACAGGGAAGCACTCACCGACTAGATGACAGTAGACTGGGTAGTAAATATGTGGTTAGTGTGATGGGTGGCTAGTTAAGACGGCAAACGTAGTTATGTGGGCGGGAAGGTACCTCTTTAGATCGAAACGTAGACTGGGATAGTTAGGTGGGCGGATAGGTACCTCTTTAGGTCAATACGTAGACGGAGAAAGTTAGGGGATGGGAAAAGAGGGGGGGGGGTGGCGGGGGTTACTCTTTAGATCAATACGTAGACGGAGATAGTTAGAAAAGGGGGGGGGGGGGGAGGAGGTACCTCTTAAGGTCGATACGTAGGCAGAGATAGTTAGAGAGAAGGGGGGGGGGGGTAACCTCTTTAGGTCGATACGTAGATGGAGTTAGTTAAAGTGGGAGGGGGGGGGGAAGGTACCTCTTTAGGTCGATACGTAGACAGAGATAGTTAGAGGGGGGGGGGGGAGGAGGTACCTCTTTAGGTCGATACGTAGACAGAGATAGTTAGAGGGGGGGGAGGGTACCTCTTTAAGTCGATACGTAGACAGAGATAGTTAGAGGGGGGGGGGGAAAGTACCTCTTTAGGTCGATACATAGACAGAGATAGTTAGAGGGGGGGGGGAGAGAAGGTACCTCTTTAGGTCGATACATAGACAGAGATAGTTAGAGTGGGGGGGGGGAGTACCTCTTTAGGTCGATACGTAGACAGAGATAGTTAGAGGGGGGGGGGTACCTCTTTAGGTCGATACGTAGACAGAGATAGTTAGAGGGGTGCGGGATACCTCTTTAGGTCGATACGTAGACAGAGATAGTTAGAGAGGGGGGAGTACCTCTTTAGGTCGATACGTAGACAGAGATAGTTAGAGAGGGGGGAGTACCTCTTCAGGTCAATACGTAGACAGAGATAGTTAGAGGGGGGGGGGGGAGGTACCTCTTTAGGTCGATACGTAGACAGAGATAGTTAGAGGGGGGGGGGGAGGTACCTCTTTAGGTCGATACGTAGACAGAGATAGTTAGAGGGGGGGGGGAGGTACCTCTTTAGGTCGATACGTAGACAGAGATAGTTAGAGAGGAGGGGGAAGGTACCTCTTTAGGTCGATACATAGACAGAGATAGTTAGAGGGGGGGGGGGGGGAGAGAAAGTACCTCTTTAGGTCGATACATAGACAGAGAAAGTTAGAGAGGGGGGGGGGGAGTACCTCTTTAGGTCGATACGTAGACAGAGATAGTTAGAGAGGAGGGGGAAGGTACCTCTTTAGGTCGATACATAGACAGAGATAGTTAGAGGGGGGGGGGGAGAGAAAGTACCTCTTTAGGTCGATACATAGACAGAGAAAGTTAGAGAGGGGGGGGGGAGTACCTCTTTAGGTCGATACGTAGACAGAGATAGTTAGAGAGGGGGAGTACCTCTTTAGGTCGATACGTAGACAGAGATAGTTAGAGGGGGGGGGGGGGTACCTCTTTAGGTCGATACGTAGACAGAGATAGTTTGAGGGGGGGGGGGAGTACCTCTTTAGGTCGATACGTAGACAGAGATAGTTTGAGGGGGGAAGGTACCTATTTATGTCAGAAAGCGATTGGCACCATTAGTATCTGGCTGCTGAAGTTGGCTATGGAGCGCTTATGGGACTGCCCCGAGTGCTGTGATGTCAATTCTTGAATCAAATCAAATCAAATCTGTGATTGGACAGAATGTGTCATGGTTGATTCTGTGATTGGACAGAATGTGTCATGGTTGAATCTGTGATTGGACTGAATGTATCATTGTTGAATCAGTGATTGGACTGAATGAATCATTGTTGAATCTGTGATTGGACTGAATGTGTCATGGTTGAATCTGTGATTGGGCTGATTGTGTCATGGTTTGTCTACAGGGACGCCAAGTCTGGGAAAAAGGTCAAGGACGGCGATGACGTGGAAATGTTGGTAGTGCTGTAGCTGTGTGTGGCTGATGTGGCAAGGTCAAACTCACACACGTGGCAAGGTCAATCTCACACACATGACAAGGTCAATCTCACACACGTGGCAAGGTCAATCTCACACACATGAACAAATCGATCGTAAACATGCGAACAAGTCGATCATACATGTGAACAAGTAGATCACATAAGTGAACATGTCAATCCTACATGTGAACAAGTAGATCACACAAGTGAATATGTCCATCATACATGTGAACAAGTAGATCACACAAGTGAACATGTCCATCATACATGTGAACAAGTAGATCACGCAAGTGAACATGTCAATCATACATGTGAACAAGTAGATCACACAATTGCACGTGTCGATCATACATACAAACAAGTAGATCATACAAGTAAACATGTCGATCACACATGTGAACATGTAGATCACACAAGTAAACATGTCGATCATACATACAAACAAGTAGATCACACAACTGATCATGTCGATCATACATGTAAACAAGTAGATCACACAAGTGAACATGTCGATCACACAAGTGAACATGTTGATCACACATGTGAACATGTAGATGACACAAGTGAACATGTAGATCATGCATGTGAACAAGTAGCTCACACAAGTGAACATGTAGATCACACAAGTGAACATTTCGATCACACATGTGAAAACGTAGATCACACATGTGAACATGTAGATCACACGTGTAAATAAGTAGATTACAAAGAGAACAAGTAGATCACACATGTGAACAAGTAGATCACACAAATAAACATGTTGATCACACAAGTGAACATGTAGATCACACAAGTGAACATGTCGATCACACAAGTGAACATGTCGATCACACAAGTAAACATGTCGATCACACATATTATGGATCACACAATAGATGGTACACACATAAACATGTCGCAGGTGTTGACTGAACGGCTGCAGGCAAGGGAAAGCAACCATGACATTACTCCAGGAAGTTATCAGGGGAAGTAATCTGTACACACAACCATGGTACCGGACACAGAGATGACAAAGCAGATTCGTGTCTGTACAGACATTTCTCACAGTCGACTTATCTTACAGAAATCACTCAACTACCTGTCTTTCAGCAATCACTCAACTACCTGATTTTCAGCAATCACTCAACTACCTGTTTCAGCAATCACTCGACTGCCTGTCTTTCGGCAATCACTCAAGTACCTGTCTTTCAACAATCACTCAACTACCTGTTTCAGCAGTCACTCAACTACCTATCTTTCAGCAATCACTCAACTACCTGTTTCAGCAATCACTCAACTACCTATCTTTCGGCAATCACTCAACTACCTGTTTCAGCAGTCACTCAACTACCTGTTTCAGCAATCACTCAACTCCCTATCTTTCAGCAATCACTCAACTACCTGTTTCAGCAATCACTCAACTACCTATCTTTCGGCAATCACTCAACTACCTGTTTCAGCAGTCACTCAACTACCTGTTTCAGCAGTCACTCAACTACCTGTTTCAGCAGTCACTCAACTACCTGTTTCAGCAGTCACTCAACTACCTGTTTCAGCAATCACTCGACTACCTGTCTTTCAGCAATCACTCAACTACCTGTCTTTCAGAAATCACTCAACTACCTGTCTTTCAGCAATCACTCAGCTACCTGTTTCAGCAGTCACTTAACTACCTGTTTCAGCAGTCACTTAACTACCTATCATTCAGCAATCACTCAACTACCTGTCTTTCAGCAATCACTCAACTACCTGTCTTTCAGCAATCACTCAACTACCTGTCTTTCAGCAATCACTCAACTACCTGTCTTTCAGCAATCACTCAACTACCTGTCTTTCAGCAATCACTCAACTACCTGTCTTTCAGCAATCACTCAACTACCTGTTTCAGCAATCACTCAACTACCTATCTTTCAGCAATCACTTAACTACCTATCTTTCAGCAATCACTTAACTACCTATCTTTCAGCAATCACTTTACTACCTATCTTTCAGCAATCACTTAACTACCTATCTTTCAGCAATCACTCAACTACCTATCTTTCAGCAATCAATTTACTACCTATCTTTCAGCAATCACTTTACTACCTATCTTTCAGCAATCAATTTACTACCTATCTTTCAGCAATCACTTTACTACCTATCTTTCAGCAATCACTCGGCTATCTGCTTCCCCTCAACTCTAGGCTGGTTGATCAAGTGGCCGTGTTGGGAAGACTGAATCATCACTGGTTGCTGTGATCTGGCGCTACGGCTGATGTCCCAGCCAGTGATCCATTGGACTGCCTAGTCTCGATCTTCAAACTATCTTCTCTTTGTCTGTCATTGTGCCTTGCTACCTTGTCTGTTACAGTTGTAGGCGTTTATGTGAAGTGTTTCCGGTTCTATTCTCAGTAGCTAACCCAGCCTCTTTATTCTCTGTCGGTGAGTCCCTCTGACCATTTTTCCCATCGGTCCCTAGTCGGTCTTTTTTAGTTACAGTGATAGTTCTTACCTTTCACCCTAATCGTTGTCTTCTTCTAGAGTCAACTAGCGTACGACTAGAGCGTTAACTAGCTTGGCTAGAGCAGGACTCCAATCTGTCAAATACTCGTATAATAGTCTCCTGGGCACAATTAAAGGTTATCTGCTTGAACAAGCAACAGTGTCCTGTGCTTGCAGTGTGAATGATGTCAGTGTGGGAGCAGCCGGTTGTATGTTATTACCTGATATATTTCCAACTAGTCAAGCCATCGCAAGGGCCCAACAAGAGGCTTGTCTGGAAAAGGAACTGTGAGATATGGCCGTATCACCCAAACGTTACCAACTGATTGATTTGTTTTTAAAAACTTGGCTGGCGCCAAATATCAGACTGGCTTCAGGATGTGGAGATTGTTTTTGCTACATCTCCCCACATGTTTTTGTTACATCTTCCCACATGTTTTTGTTACATCTTCCCACATGTTTTTGCTACATCTTCCCACATGTTTTTGCTACATCTTCCCACATGTTTTTGTTACATCTCCCCACATGTTTTTGTTACATCTCCCCACATGTTTTTGCTACATCTCCCCACATGTTTTTGTTACATCTCCCCACATGTTTTTGCTACATCTCCCCACATGTTTTTGTTAATCTCCCCACATGTTTTTGTTACATCTCCCCACATGTTTTTGTTACATCTCTCCACATGTTTTTGCTAAATCTCCCCACATGTTTTTGCTACATCTTCCCACATGTTTTTGCTACATCTCCCCACATGTTTTTGCTACATCTCCCCACATGTTTTTGCTACATCTTCCCACATGTTTTTGCTACATCTTCCCACATGTTTTTGTTACATCTACCCACATGTTTTTGTTACATCTCCCCACATGTTTTTGCTACATCTCCCCACATGTTTTTGTTATATCTCCCCACATGTTTTTGCTACATCTCCCCACATGTTTTTGTTACATATCCCCACATGTTTTTGTTACATCTCCCCACATGTTTTTGTTACATCTCTCCACATGTTTTTGCTACATCTCCCCACATGTTTTTGTTACATCTCCCCACATGTTTTTGTTACATCTCCCCACATGTTTTTGCTACCTCCCCACATGTTTTTGCTACATATCTCCACATGTTTTTGCTACATCTCACCACATGTTTTTGTTACATCTCCCCACATGTTTTTGCTACATCTCCCCAAATGTTTTTGCTACATCTTCCCACATGTTTTTGCTACATCTACCCACATGTTTTTGTTACATCTCCCCACATGTTTTTGCTACATCTTCCCACATGTTTTTGCTACATCTCCCCACACGTTTTTGTTACATCTCCCCACATGTTTTTGCTACATCTTCCCACATGTTTTTGCTACATCTCCCCACATGTTTTTGTTACATCTCCCCACATGTTTTTGCTACATCTTCCCACATGTTTTTGCTACATCTCCCCACATGTTTTTGCTACATCTCTCCACATGTTTCTTCTACACCTCCCCACATTTTTTGGCTACATCTCCCCACATTATTCGACTTACTGTGTAGCAACAGAATTCTTAAATCTTATGACATCTGTTAACTGATTTTTAGCAATCTCCTGACAGTAAGTTTATTTTATAGCAGTAAAACTCAGGGATCTCTTGACATCAGTAAGTTTAATTTATAGCAGTATAACCCGGGGATCTCTTGACATCAGTAAGTTTATAGCAGTATAATTCAGGAATCTCTTGACATCAGTAAGTTTATAGCAGTATAATTCAGGCATCTCTTGACATCAGTAAGTTTATAGCAGTATAATTCAGGAATCTCTTGACATCAGTAAGTTTATAGCAGTATAGCTCAGGAATCTTTGACATCAGTAAGTTTATAGCAGTATAGCTCAGGAATCTCTTGACATCAGTAAGTTTATAGCAGTATAGCTCAGGAATCTCTTGACATCAGTAAGTTTATAGCAGTATAATTCAGGAATCTCTTGACATCAGTAAGTTTATAGCAGTATAGCTCAGGAATCTCTTGACATCAGTAAGTTTATAGCAGTATAGCTCAGGAATCTCTTGACATCAGTAAGTTTATAGCAGTATAGCTCAGGAATCTCTTGACATCAGTAAGTTTATAACAGTATAGCTCAGGGATCTCTTGACATCAGTAAGTTTATAGCAGTATAACTCAGGGATCTCTTGACAGTTTGTATTTAGCAATCTTTTCAGACCAATCAGTTTGTTCTACAACAATGTGACGGTGATGGTCACGGCCCTAATTCTGCGCTCCCTTTAGACGACATGCTTCACAGATTCTCTTCATTGCGTGAGTTTAGGGCATAGCGGGTTAGTTTCAATTTTTTTTCCAAGTTGTATATGTGTGTCATCAGTGTATACAGTTCATGTCTCTGACTGCAGTTCTGAAACCGTGCCCTCATCAACGTATATAAATCATGTCTTTGAGATCAGTTGTTTTGGAACCGTGCCCTCATCAACGTATATAAATCATGTCTTTTAGATCAGTTGTTTGGAACTGTGTCCTCATTAACGACTATCCATTATGTCCT